ACCACAACTGTAGCTATTAGCCTATAGCAGGGGCGTCCAAAGTGGGTCCTGGAGGCCCGGCGTCCTGCATGTCTTAGTTCTCTCCCTGGTTTAACGCAGCTGGATCAAATGACGGCTCGTTAGAGGCCTCAGAGGAAAAGGAGGCCAGGAGAGTCCAGGACCGACTCTGGACTCCCCTGGCCTACAGCTATGACAGCTATGGATGTTTCTGTGCACCTGTAGCTTCATAGATGCACAGAAACATTTTGTTCACACTCTGAACAAAAAGCCTACATGATAAAATAATGTTGACAGCTGATTAATAAATAAATCTGACATACTGTTTGTCTCGTTGCCATGGCGTTTAGCAGATAGAAATCATTTTAGTGACTCTAACTGACCTGAAACCGCAGACGTTCGCTCTGATTTAACTTCAGACTGAGAAGAAAGGTTTATTTTTCTCTTTTGTTTAACTCATAAACCAGATCTCTGTGGATCCTCATCAGATGTTTTGTGGTTTGTTTTGTGTAAAAATTAGGAAAAAGCTGTTAGAAAAGCGCAGCCTCCTGTCGGTGTGGATGAAAAGCCGTTGGTGTGATTTCTCATCTCACCTTCGGCTCCACAGCTTTTCTCTGGCAGCTTCTCCAACAGGTCGGTTCTGTTCATGTCCATCAGAACCTGCCTGGTCACCTCCAGACACTGCCGGCCATATGAGCCCATCAGCAGATCCACCATATTTTTACAGTTTGACTTTTTCAGATCGCTCCATGAGATTTGTGGAAACTTGTTCTGGAAGGACTCAAAGTTCAGGAATATCTTGAAATTTCCCAGATCTAAATGATTCAAATCCATCAGAGTTTCCAACAGAATCTCTTTCACAGCTGCCATCGTTGCTGCCTGGAAAATGATAAAGAAATGACAGTTAACTGTTTTCCTTACATGATAAATGTCTTTAAGAAGCAACAGCTAATCAACATTTCTCTAAACTGTAACTATCTGACCTTGTAAACATTTAACAATAATCATTGAAACAGATTTTTTTCAGCCAGCAGCTCAGCGTTCGTACAACCAGTTAACTTTGGTCATATTTATTTATTCAGCAGTAATTCTGGCAAAACTGTACCAGAAAAATCAAATTCACTAATTATCTGCTGTCAGGAAAAATCTAAAATTCATCTTAAGTTAGCAGCTTAAAGGTTAAAGGTCAGGTCACTGAACTAGTCTGACTGATTGGAAGGATTGAAGGAGAAACGCTCTTCTCTCCAGAAACAAGATGGCAGCACCAAATAGTGCTGCACATGAATGAAGGACCAGATTTCTGGACCGAAGCCAAATGTTTGGCTGAAATGACACGGTAGAGGAGGTGTGGTGATCCTGGCTTGTTTTCAGTCACAGGAGCCGGTCGGTCACCTTTGATCTTCTGTAAGTATCCGACCCATTAGCATCTAAACAAGCATCAAGGCCCAGACAGGATTTCACTCACTTTGTGGATCAGCGCCGACCGACGGTCATCAGGCGGTTCTGGTTGGGAGAAAATCACAGAAACAGGAGAAGCAGCTTCACAGAGATCAGAATGAAATGATTTAACTCGTCTCACTTTTATTCTCTTACTTCTGTTTCTGGGCCTGCAGTCCAGCAGACTCTGGACCAGATGGTTCTGGTTGATGTCCACTAAAATCCTCCTGGTGACGTCCACAGACTGTTTGCCGTGACTCTGAACCAATGAGATCGCTGCGATCTCCGGGTCGGTCCTCGGCGGCGCCAGGGCAGAAGGTTCTAGCAGCAGGTACCGCTCCCAGAACTCCCTCAAGCCGCCGCCGCTCAGAGCCGACAGCGTTTCCATCAGCAGCTCCAAATCCGACGCCATCACTCCCGCCTGGGCGAGTCAGAGAGACGCAAGGAAATAACACTTAGTATCATTAATATCAGTGGTATTAGAAACAGCTGCATACGTTTTACAGAACTGCACATTGTTTTATTTGCATTTTTCTTGTTTTGCTTTGTAAAACTGAACTTCTGGCCTCTGTTTACAAAGTCATGTGTTCATTATGTGATCTAAATGAAATGGTTAAAATCAGCATATTTCATCATTTTTTACTGTGTTTTTCAGTGTGAGAATATTTCTATCTTCCATAACTGAAATGTGTTGATGAGGCTGAAGTGACGTAACTTACTCTCTGGATTAAAGATGGATTCTCTAAAATAGAAACATAGAAAATATTTTTAAGCCTTTTATTGAGAAACACCAAAAATAATTCAGAATCACAAAGAACTTGCAGAAAGTCTTCGGGGCTTCCTGACCTCTGACCCCTGCCAGTCTGTGCAGCAGGTCCTGACGCCTCATCTTCAGTAAAATCTTCCTGGTCTCCTCCACACACCTTCCTCTGCACATCCTCATCATCAGCTCCGCCACAGCCTCAGTGTTTGCCGCCTCCAGCTCCCTCCGTGAGTCGGGCGGTAAAAACTTCTCTGCCACCATGAACAGCTTGAAGTCCCAGAAGTCTCCTGCACTCAGCTGATCCAGGGTTTCTACCAGCAGCTCTTTAGTCGTCATCGTTTCTGCCTGGAGAAACAAGAAGAAGCTTTTCTGAGAGCAGGAAGATGAAAAACTTCTGGCTTTCTAGAAACATCACATCTGTTTTAACGATATCTCTCTGAGGATTGGTGCCGTTCATATAATCACTAAACTTGATCACATCACAGGCCTGACTGGCTGCCGTGGATTTGTTGTTATTTGAAAGCTGCATTTTGTACTCAGGTAAGTTTACCTGGAATGGTTTTTATATTATGAAAGAAAAGAGTGTTTATCAGACGATAAACCTTCATTACTGGTTGACTACTTGGAGAACATCCCCTGGCCTGAAGCAGGACCTGCAAAACGTGACTCTCTTCAGTAAATCGTTCCCTCAGTGAAACCTGGAGGACGTTTGGGTTCGACTGCTGGTTTGTTTGATGCGTTGAAGGAAACAGGAACCTTGAATTGCTGCAGCAGAGAGAACCTGTGATGAAAGCTGCTGCAGACCTCAGACATTATTTATGGATCCAACAACAGAACAGCGACCCAAAACCTGAAAGCTGTCAGAAATGACTGACATACAGAATGAAATCTGCTCATAAATGTCTTCCCATCACATCTTTGTCCTAAACTTTATGAAATGTTTTGGTAACAGAGTGAAGAACTGAAGAACCTGCTGCAAACTGGACTTTATTTGTTCAATTTTACTGAATATTTCAGTGAACAAATCAAAACCAAACTATGGTTTGTGATAAGTGGGCAGTAAGGGATGGATTAAACCCTTTGAGTTTCTTGTGTTACTTCAGAGATCGTTCTGATTTCTTTAGGCATCAACTGGTTTCTCTGTAAACAGCAGGGAGATTTTCACACAACTTTCTGTTATTCTGTCATCATTTTTCAATAAAACTTGATGATGATGTCAGTAAATTCAGTCATTTACTGACATTTTACAACACAAACAGATTACATGACTACAGGAAACATGAATTCCCCCAATAAAAACTTCCTTGAACACATCGTCATAAGCTGCAGCTGTGATGTGAAACAGCAGCAGGGAAGAGGGAGAGCTTTTTACATTTTATGATACAAAACAGCCGCATCATTCACACTGTGAGCTGCAGGACAGCATGAAGCACCAACATGCTGCTTTCCCACCACTCAACTCGCTTTCATGACCAGTTACATCAAACCAGCCACAGATCCTGACCTGCAGCTGCAGGAGTGAAACCTGCAACCTTCTGATTGCCAGAAGGTTCTGCCCTCCGAGTTTCAATCAGCTGAATGTCAAAACAAAGATTTTAGTAAACTTACAGTACCTTCTGCCTGAGATTTTGTCTCATTTCCGTGAAGTGTGTTTTAGTCTCACCAAATGTTTTCCTTCCTCTGAGTTTTCTCTTTCACTTCAACATGTCTGCCATCTCCTCCACCTTCATCTCCCTTTCATCCCTGCTCACCTGCAAAACCAAAGCAGGCTCCATCTGTAATGTTTTACAAGCATTCCATGAGAAAATGAACTAATCCTGCATGTCAGCTTTATATTTCACAAGCTCTGCAAAATCAAACTTAAATTACTCAACCCTGTCTCGTGCTCCGTTTCCGCATTTATCCAGGAAGTCGTCACCACTTACACTGGTCACCTCGATTGTTTTAAAGATATTTAACTAAATGAATGAACACAAGCTCTTATAATGCTTAAGCTAAATACAAATGTTTTGAACAAATAGAAACGACAAAATGCACTAAATAAAATTCATTTTTCTGTTTCAGACAAGAATAAATCAAAGCTTCAAATAACATGTTGTATATTTGGAAGCTTTAACCGACCGAAGTAATGGATCTAATGTGATCTAATGTGATCTCAGATCAGGTGAGAACATTAAGTATTCGGTGATTATTAGCTCTAGGTTTCAGAAAGTATTTTAATTTACAGCCGATCGATGATGGCTGAAATCCCTTAAATACGGTGAAATGTCCCTTTACTGAAGAACCGAGCGGATCGGCTTCAGCATCAGAAAAACATCAGCGGATAAAAACTGTTTTAAGCAAACAAACCGACAAAAAGTTCAGGACGATGTGAGGAGATCAGAAACGGGTGGAGGAAACTCCGCAGCGTTTACCTTCAACAAGCTGCTTCTTTCACGCAGATGTTTCAGGTAAATCCATCTGCAGGTGATCAAAGCTGTTCAGATGGAGACGAGCGTCACTGTTTCTGTTTCTGTGAACCAAAAGGTCTTCATCTGTATGCAGGAACTGAAGCCAAAGTGTTTCCTGCTGCTGCCTGGAGGATGGAGGATGCTGAGGGCAGAAAGCTTCACAGCTGTGATGGTTGTGACTCTACGGAAGCAGTTTGTGATCAGTACCGCGTTACAACAGGATCATTTTGATAAAACGTGATAGTTTCTTCCAGATGTTAGCGGTACAACTGATGAGTGTCAGAAACACAAACTGAATACAAAGAATCTGAAATGTAAATCTGAGAGTCTAGTGAGTAATTTCGAGTTAAAGTGTAAATCCCAACTCACTCAAAATGGTCTGAAGAACAGATTAACCAATCAGAAGCCACCTGGTGTAGCATGAGAAATACATCAAGATTCAGATTCTAACCGCAAATTCAATGGTTCTGTTGAAAACACGAGATGGTTTGACAGAAAATAATCATGAAACAATCAGCCCAGTGGGTTAGTTTTCTGAATTTCAAAATTTACAAAAGAAAAATTCCTATAGAGAAGCCGGGCTGCACAGTTGGTAGAGCTGCTGCCTTGCAGCAAGAAGGTCCTGGGTTCAATTCCCTTCTTTCTGCATGGAGTCTCCCTGTGAATAGAGGGCTCTCTCTGGGTACTCTGGCTTCCTCCCACAGTCCAAAAACATGACTGTTTGTTTGGCCTCTCTAAACCATCCTTAGGTATGGACATGGTTGTCCTGCAATGGACCAGTGATTCTGATGCCTGAAATGTCCTTCTGCAGACCTGACCCTTCAACTTGGTACAAAATCATTTTTATAATGAAATACTGGGGTTATGTTTATTTCCCTTTAGCTCTCTTCCTGTCTCTCCAATCAAGAAACAGCCATTTAATCCAGGACTTCTGAATAAAAATGTAAGTATGTAAAATTTATTTATATAGCAATCACATTGAAAATACAGGAGATAAAACACTAAAAAAAATAAAAATTAATAATAATAATAATGATAATAATAATGATAATAATAATAATAATAATAATAATAATAATAATAATAATAATAACAATAATAATAAACTGAGTACATACATCTAGTCTAAATAAGTGAAGCTTCAGCTGAAAGAATCAACAAAATGAAGATTTCACAAGAAAAAAGCAAATCATTTCACAATCTGGTGGATTTCTTCTCTCTGGTCTGAAAATGTCAGATCAGTGAGTGTCTTCTCCACTGGAAGGGATTTTCAGAAGAGATGTATTAAAAATAAATGAATGAGAATGATGTAAAATGCTTAAAACAAATATTATAAATGGATGCAACAAAAGTCTGAACATTAAAGACCAAGACAGAAATGTCTGGTTCCATGAGGGTCGATTATAATTTTATATAGATTGTAATTTCTTGTGTTGTCATCATTTTACTTCAAACTGACACATATAATTCGATATACAGACTATTGTTTTCATTATGTTTATATCCAAAAAGGTGAAAATACCAAATATAAATCAACTAAGGCAATAAGAAATGATAAAAAAGGCTTAGAAAAATCACAATGTGAAGATACTCTGTAAAAAGTAAAAAGAAATAAATAAAAATAAAAACAGAAAAATAAAGAAAACGCTGAAAAATAAAAACAGCAACATTTCCAATAATAACAGTTTACTGGTGAGAGCTGTTATAAGTAATCCTCCTCAGAGGTTTAGGCTGAGGAGCTGATGTACGTTATACTTTAATCAAACCTCCCCGTCATGGACAGACGACCCGGTGGAGTCACTGCAGACAGGTTCCTGTTACTCAAATTAAACTCTGAAACCTTTTCTGAGCTGACAGACTGGTGCATGTTTCTCCCATTAGCACAATTTGATTCAGGGGATTATTGGAGGTTTGTGTGCAGCAAACACAACATGCTGATTTTACTGATGTTAGACAAGAAGCAGGAAAAAAGAAAAGAGGGAGAGGAGTGAAGATGGTTTACTCAGCACCGAAACTCTGAGAACTCAGACCACATCCCACATCCAGCGTAAAGAGGTTCAGTGAATGTGGTGGTGAAGGTGTGGAGGTGGGTCACGTTGTCAGAGGAAACCCTGTAGAAGGACAGAACGCCGGCCGGACGGTCCACATACACCGCCACTCTGGCCGAGACAGAGGAGGCTGACGGAGAGGAGAAGAAGTAAGAAGAGGGGGATAAATGAGAGGAGGAGGAGGAGGAGAGAGACGAGGAGGAAATGGGTGTTTTCTTCTTATTGTGACAGGAAAAGTAGCTACCATCACTGCAACACTTGAGACTCCAGGAGTGATCATTCACTGCAAACACAACGTCATCAACACTTCCCTTCTTTCTGATTCTTCTGTAACTGACAGAGACGTCAACCTCTCCTTTACACTCAACCTCCCAGTAACAGCGACCAGTCAGCTCATTCTGACACAATAATTGTGGCCAAACATCAAATCTGTCCGGATGATCAGGATACGACTGTTCCTGTTCCACACGCGTCACCTTCCTGTTGTCATCAGACAGCCTGAGTTTGCTGTTCACCGTGTTAGTGTCGATGGTGAGCTGACAGGAATCTGATGGAGAGAACAAACAGCTGATCATTTCCCCACTCTGCGATGATGCTGCATTAAAACCAAATCATTCAAATGAGCAACACTCACACTTCCTCAGACCTGGTACCAACCACCGATCTCCATCAGGTGAAACCCTGCAAAGTGGAGGAGGATCAGCCCATCAGATATCATCAAAAACAACACTAACATGAACAATGATCTATTTTCTTTTAAGTCCAATCTAGTGTTGGTCATCTTCAGCCCAAATTAAAGTATAAAAGATACATCACCAATCACTTAGCAGCTGATTATCCATAAACTAGTGGTACATGGAAATATCCTAACTCCTTAGTGAAAATAAAACCTGTTTATTTAGATAGCAACATTACTAAAGGCAATTTACCAAGAAATGATTATATGCAGAAATGCAGTCAGTTCAGTGAAATCATACAGAGTCAATTATATACAGTCCAGTTCAATCATAGTTATTGAACAGTCAAGTCCAGAGTTTGGTAGACTGACGTATCAGCATATCCTAATCCTGAATGACAATGTAGCAACAGTGAAAACTTCCCTTGAACAGGAAGAAACCCCCAGCAGAACCAGAACCAGAACCTGGCTCAGTGAACAGCAATCCATCTCAACCGACTGGGCGTTTAAGAAGACAGAGCACACAGAAAAGAGCACTGACCCAGGAGTACTTTCTGTGTTATGGAAAGTAAAGTGTTAATAGCAGCAGGAGCTTCAGTAGTGGCTTCTTCTACAAGAGAAACAACACTAAGCTTTGAAATACCCAGGTTCAACATATCACTAAAATATTTTTGGTATACCTAAACTTTGAGTATTTGGCTAATTCATAAAATTGGAATGCTAGACTAGCAGATTGGAAGTTCAGGGGAAGACTAGAAAACAGGTGATGATCAGATTATTCTCCTCTGTCTGGAGGAAAGTGGCTGGTCTTTCCATACCTGAGAGATTCAGGTTTCCAGAGTTCATGCTCCAGCACAAATCCTGATTTTCCGAGATGATTGTAGCTCAGGTCCAACACTTTTAGATGGGAGGGGTTGGAGCTCAGTGCTGAGGCCAGAGAATTACAGCCTTCCTCTGCGATCAGGAAGCCTGATAGACTGCAAGAAATATACAGCACACAACTCAGACCCACAGAAACGGACAAAAACTGGTCAATTTTTAACATTGGTCAAAAAGTCATTGTCAGAATCTACAGAAATCCAGAAAATGGTTGAAAAACTGAAAATATGTAAATTAATTTGATCTTGTTGACTAGCATAAAGAGCGGCAGCCATTCAGGCTCTGAGCATCACCTGAGAACCTCCAGTTTGCAGTTTGGACTCTCCAGTCCAGCACAGAGCAGCTTCACTCCTGAATCCTGCAGGTCGTTGTTACTCAGGTCCAGTTCTCTGAGACTGCAGGACTGGGAGCTGAGAGCTGAAGCCAAAGATTTGCAGCTTTTATCAGAGAGGTTACATCCACTCAGTCTGAGGATGAAATGTACAGAAAAGAAAATGTTAATGAGCAATCTGTCTTTTTTTACTCTGCCTGTAATTTTAATTGTTTCTGTATCAAAAGTCATGTGGAGCAGTGTGCACTAACAGAGCTTTGTTGGAAACTTTGATGATTGGCAGCAGCTTCAGGAGAACCTCCTCTGAAGCTGAGTATTTCTTTAGGTCAAACACATCCAGATCTTTCTCTGAAGACAGTAAGATGAAGATCAGAGCTGACCACTGAGCAGGAGACAGTTCATCTGTGGAGAGACTTCCTGAACTCAGGGACTGTTGGATCTCCTCCTCTAGAGAACGATCGTTCAGTTCATTCAGGCAGTGGAACAGATTGATGCTTTTCTCCACTGTAAGATCATCATTGATCTTGTCCTTGATGTATTTAACTGTATGTTGGTTGGTCTGTATGTCAGTTCCTCTCTGTGACATCAGATGTTGTAGCAGACTCTGATTGCTCTGCAGAGAAAGTCCCAGGAGGAAGCGGAGGAACAAGTCCAGGTTTCCGTTTGGAAACTGTAGGGCCTTGTTTACCGCACTCTGATAAAAGCGTCCTGGATCAACCTTTTTCTTAAAGAAAAAGAACCACCACATCCAGAAGAAATTCTGTGTTTCTTCCATCAGGTTGACACCAGAGTTGATGAAGGTCAGATGAACATGAAGAGCAGCCAGAAACTCCTGAACACTCAGATGGACGAAGCAGAACACCTTGTCCTGGTTCAGCCCTCGCTCCTCTCTAA